TAAATTCGATCGCGTTCGCGTTATTTTTTAAATTTATATATTAAATTAACTGCAACCAAARCAGTAATTGTATTAGAATTTGTTCGAGTAAAGTTATATTTTTATCTTTAAACAGTCGCACAGACTGTTTGCGTATTAGAGTCAGTGCATCAATGAAGATTTTTATACTTGTATTGACTGTGTGCAAAGCAGTCTTTATAAGTAGTTGTAGAGTCAGTGATCGGGCGCATAATAAATTAAAATCATACGCGAATTAGAGTCAGTGTTGTTTGCCGTATAATTTAATTTCGGTTTCGCGATAAGAAACTCATCTATAGTTTCTTATTTTCGTTTATATCGCGCCATTAAATTCACGCGAGGTGCATCACCATGGTGCAATTGAGTTTCATCCCATTGGAATGCATTGTAAGTATTCATTTTTATTAACATTTCATTCGTTTTTGTTTGATATGATTTTGGAACATATTACATACAACTTATTATTTTGTTCTATTTTATTTTACAGATATGACGACGGACTTTCTTTCACGGACTTATCAAAGATATGGGATGAATTCTTCGATGGATCATCGATGGATCTTCGATGGATCTTCAATAGCAAACCGAGGAACTTTCCAATCGTTAGACTGCTGTACTTGCTTCGAAGTAGGAGTGTTTTGGAGCCATCGTAGAACTTCTTACGGAGTGAGTCAAAAAATTTAAGGTCCCTCCGGTGCTCAATCATGYCGAGGATGAAAGGTCCTAATCGGCACGAGTTACTGGTTGTAATTAATTAAATAAATTATTGACGAGCACATGAGTAATTCCTCTTTTGAAATTACTCATGAAAAAATTGTATATTGTATTGTATTGTATTGTATTGCATATTTTATATTAGTTCAGGATAGGTTTTYTTGTCTCACCGGTTAAATTCATTAAATTAATAGTGCAATTAATTACTGCACTTTCTTTTTTATTACGTGTTTTGTTYGTGGTTAATAGTGGTGAAACCGAGCATTAATTTACTCGTTTTCGTCCAGAAAAGCATGTAATAAATGTCTTACATGCATTACTTCGTACTTAGTTTATATAATCGCGATTAATTGTGATATATCGATACTTTGATATTATAAATAAAGGAGCAAGAAGACAAACCCATTCGCGATGGATAGATTCTAGCAGTTAAGTGGTGGCTCAAAGCCCAGTTCTTTTATTAGAACAGCCAACTTAATGAAAGGAGTCRTCCGAGGTTTTGAAATATATATTAAAAAATATTAAAAGATATTAAAAGTTATATTATTTATCACAAATAAATTGTAGAGTCCTTAGTCGCTTAGATGAAT